TAGTGTGTTTACAGGGGCTCGTTATATACCTAGGTACAGTCCCCTTCACTAGTATGTTTACAGGGCTCGTCATATAGCCTAGGTACAGTCCCTTCACTAGTGTGTTTACAGGCCGTCATATTACCTAGGTACAGTCCCCTCACTAGTATGTTTACAGGGCTCTGTCATATAGCCAGGGTATCAGTCCCTTCACTAGTGTGTTTACAGGGCTCATCAATTACCTAGGTACAGTCCCCTTCACTAGTATGTTTACAGGGGCCCGTCATAGCCTGTACAGTCCTCACTAGTGTGTTTACAGGGCTGTCATATTATCTAGGTACAGTCCCTCACTAGATGTTTCAGGGGCTCGTCATATAGCCTGTACAGTCCCCTTCACTAGTGCGTTTACAGGGGCCTGTCATATAGCCAGGTACAGTCCCCTTCACTAATAGTAGGCTCGTCATATAGCCTAGGTACAGTCCCTTCACTAGTGTGTTACAGGGCCTCACATAGCCTAGGTACAGTTCCCCACTAGTGTGTGTTTACAGGGCTCGTCATATTACCTAGGTACAGTCCCTTTCACTAGTATGTTTACAGGCTCGTCATATAGCTGTACAGTCCCCTCACTAGTGTGTTTACAGGGGCTCGCCATATAGCCCAGGTACAGTCCCCTTCACTAGTGTGTTACAGGGCTCGTCATATTACTCAGGTACAGTCCCCTCTCTCTGGTATGTTTACAGGGCCCTGCTCATATAGCCTAGGTACAGTCCCTTCACTAGTGTGTTTACAGGGCTCTCATATTACCTAGGTACAGTCCCCCACTAGTATGTTACAGGGGCTCGTCATAGCCTAGGTACAGTCCCTCTACTAGTGTGTTTACAGGGCCTCGTCATATTACCTAGGTACAGTCCCTTCACTAGTATGTTTACAGGGGCTCGTCATATAGCCTAGGCAGTCCCCTCACTAGTGCGTTTACAGGGCTCGTCATATAGCCTAGGTACAGTCCCTTCACTAGTATGTTTACAGGGCTCGTCATATACCTAGGTACAGTCCCTTCACTATATGTTACAGGGCTCGTCATATAGCCTAGGTACAGTCCCCTTCACTAGTGTGTTTACAGGGTCGTCATATTACCTAGGTACAGTCCCTTCACTAGTATGTTTACAGGGGTCATATAGCCTAGGTACAGTCCCTCCTACTAGGCGCTACAGGCTCGCATATAGCCCAGGTACAGTCCCTCTCACTAGTGGCTTTACAGGCTCGTCATATAAACACTCTCACAAATCATTACATTGAGATATTTGTTTTAATATTGTTTTCTTTGATTCCATAGTATGATGACTATTGTGAGTTACCTTTCTGTTTAATGTAAACAACACGCACTGCCACACTGCACACAACCTGACGAGCCCTGTAACGCACTAGTGAAGGGATCACTTAGGCTATATGACGAGCCCCTAAACGCACTAGTGAAGGGATTGTACATTGATCGTGTGTACAAAGTGATAAAGTAGTAGTAGTAGTAATAAAAAATTCCATATCTTTACCTAAAAAATTCTATTAAAAAAAATCATGGTACAATATTGAAAATTTTTAAAAGAAAAAAAAAGCCGAAAAGAATGGATTTATTTTTTTAATTACTCAAGGTTTTATTGAATCTTGACTGTTGGGTTCCTAGCAATAAAAGTGAGAAATAAAAGTGAGAAATAGAATGAGAAATAAAAGTGAGAAATAGATTGAGAAATAAAAGTGAGAAATAAAGTAGAGGACTAAAATGAGAAATAAAAATGAGAAATAAAATAAAGAATAAAAATAAAAATAACTAAAGTGAGGAATAAAACAGAGAAATTATAACGAAAATAATAAAAAATAATAAATAAAACAATAAAAAGTGAGCAATAAAAATGAGGGGGGGAGGAGGTCCCATTAGCGAGTGTATCAACAACGCTGATGAGAGACTATTATTTTTTGCCTCATTTTTTCTGTAATTTTTGCCTCGATTTTGTCTCAGTTGTGTGTGTATGTGTGTGATAACGATTGTCGTGTTGTTGAAAATATGGCGTTCTCTCTCTCTCTCTCTCTCTCTCAGTTAACCCACGACACTACGAAGGCTTCTCAAAGGTTCGTAAGTTTGTTTCTCCCTCACAAACTAAGGAGTTAAGTTTGTATTTAAGGTCAAGTGTTAAGGTAGTTTTGGAAGCTGTTCTGAGTCTGTCTTTGTATGTCAGGTAGAGGTGTTGTTTCTTCTTCCTCATTAACCTTCCTTCCTTCCTTCCTTCCTTCTCCTCCTTCTTCTCCTTTCCCCCATTACCTTCCTACCTCCCCCTCCTCCTTCCATCCTCCCTCCCTTCTTGCCCTTATTTTGCCACCTTTCTCTTCTCCTTCCCTCCTCCTTCTACCCTCTTCCTCCCTTTTTTCCTCCTTCTCCTTCCTCCCCTCCTCCTTCTCTCCCTTCCCTTCCTCCTTCTCCTTCCTTCCCTCCTCCCTCCTCCTCCCCTTTACTTCCCCTCCCTCCCGCCACCTTCTCCTCACAACTTTTTTCCACCCATCCTCTCCTTAACACCCTTTTCCTTCCCACCTCCCATACCCACTCTCCCATTCCTCTCACTTCACTCATTTACCTCCTCTCTTCCTCTCCTCCCCTTACTCCAACCCTCTCCCTCATCCCCTCCCCCCTCACATTCCCGAGGCTTTTGCTCTGCGTTTTATATTTTCGTGTTCAATAAAAGCAAAGGGGATGTAGCAAGGTGTGAGAACCTAGACTGTTTCCCTCTAACACCTGTGTACCTAACCTTAATTAACCCAACCAAGCCAAACCTGACCTGACCTGACATGACCTGACCTAACCTGACCAAACCTAACCTAACCTAACCTAACCTTAATTAACCCAACCAAGCCAAACCTGACCTGACCTGACATGACCTGACCTAACCTGACCAAACCTAACCTAACCCAAAATAACCTAACCTAACCCAAAATAACCTAACCTAACCCAAAATAACCTAACCTAACTTTAAAAACATTCTACTCTTGTTTACAAAATTCTTGTAAAAAAAATTGTATAAAAAAAATCGTGAAGATAAATAAAACTTATGTTACAGTATAATTTTAAACTTATTTAAATATTCACGAAAATTTTTTATTTCTTTTGCAATAAGTTTGATTTTTTTTTTTTAACGAAATGATGACAAGTGGAGACGATGTGTCATTAGGGAGTTACTGAAGAGGAGGAGGAAGAGGGAAGGCAGAAGAGGAGGAGGAGGGAGGAGGAAGAGGAAGGAGAGGAAGAGGAGGAGGAGGAAGAGGAGGAGGAGGAGGGAAGGAAGATGAGGGAACTGGAGGAGAAGAAGAGATGGAATAGGGAAGAAGAGGAGAAGGAGGAGGAGCAGAGGAAAATGGAATAGAAGAGGAAGAGAAGGAGGAAGATGAGAAGGAAGAGGAGAAGGATGGGGGTAGTGAATAGGCCACACACACACGGGAGAGAGAGAGAGAGAGAGAGAGAGAGAGAGAGAGAGAGAGAGCTTATTTTCAATTCTCAGTCTTCCCTTCGTTATTCCCTGTAACACTGAGGTAAAAATTAGTGGCCCCAAGTCATAATTAACTATGACCTCTATCATCTGGGGTCACTCTGTGGATGAGAAGATGAGAGAGGGAGGGGGGAGAGAGAGAGAGAGAGAGAGAGAGAGAGAGAGAGAGAGAGAGAGAGAGAGAGAGAGAGAGAGAGAGAGAGAGAGCAGACGGATGTACAATGTCAAAGTTAAATGTATCTCTCTCTCTCTCTCTCTCTCTCTCCACTTAGAATGACCATTAAATTTTAAACGCTGATATAGGGGAGGAGGAAAGAGAAGGCGAGGGAGGGGAAAGGAATGGGGAGGTAAGGGGAGAGGGGAAGGGAGGTAGTATAGGGAGGGAAGAGGAGGGGAAGGGGTGAAGGGGGAAGGGAAGAGGGTTAGGGAGAGAAGGGAAGGGGAAGCTTTTAAAACTGCTCATTGTGGGTGAAATTCGTTTGGGTGTAATTTTGACGTGAATTAATGGTATTGCGTCATCAAGCTCAAACAGTGTAATTATAAAGGTAAAGCATAATAGGTCTCTCTCTCTCTCTCTCTCTCTCTCTCTCTCTCTCTCTCTCTCTCTCTCTCTCTCTCTCATATATATATATATATTTCCTGTCCTCGGAAACACAAACTTTGGCCTTATTATTTTAATTGTGGTTTCAAAGGTTAAGTGAAGAGATAAACGTTGATATTACTGGAACTATGGTTGCTTCCTTGTACACAGACCTCCTGAGAGACAGACAGACAGACAGACAGAAATGGCAGGTCGATTCACAGACAGACAGACAGACATCCTTCACGACCAACTGCCCGTCCATATCCTCACACCCTCCCCTACCTTAACCTAACCTCACCTAAAGTCCATAAGGTCAGAGGTCAGGCAAGCTCACACCCTCCCCTACCTTAACCTAACCTCACCTAAAGTCCATAAGGTCAGGTCAGGGGTCAGAGGTCAGGCAAGGTGTATAGAGTGGGAGTGAACTGGCTGGAGAACAAGTTATTTAAGTCTATTGGAACGCTCAGGTAAAGAGGAATTCTAATTTACATATTCAATACCTTTTTAGGAATATGAAATGACCGTCTTCAGGGTGTTGCCGTTATTAGTGTGATCATATTACTGCACGGACACACACACTTGCATACAGACACACAGACAGAGACAATGCCCTACAGACAGACAGACAGAAAGCCCTACAGACAGAAAGAAAGCCCTACAGACAGACAGACAGAAATCCCTACAGACAGACAGAAAGAAAGCCCTACAGACATACAGACAGAAAGCCCTACAGACAGACAGAAAGAAAGCCCTACAGACAGACAGAAAGAAAGCCCTACAGACAGACAGAAAGAAAGCCCTACAGACAGACAGAAAGAAAGCCCTACAGACAGACAGACAGAAAGCCCTACAGCCATACAGACAGAAAGCCCTACAGACAGAGAGACAGACAGACAGACAGAAGGACTCACCGAGATGTTGCCATAGCCCAGGTGGTCACAGGTACACTGGCACTTGAGGATGTGATCCTTTATGTCCCTGGGAAGACTCTCCACACTCCTGCTTAACCTCGAGCCTACAGGACCCTTCATCCCCCACTGTCCTTGGCTGTGTCCGTGGACGTGGGCGTGATTGTGGGCGTCGGAATGTCTGTGAATGTCGCCAGGGGAGTGAACATGGGCGTGATGGTTGTGGGCTGGTGGTTGGTGGGGATCCGAGTGTCTGTGAGCGTTGCCTGCATTGTGTGGATGGGCGTGGGTTTGGGCGTGGGTTTGGGCGTGGGTTTGGCCGTGGGTTTGGCCGTGGACTTGAGCCTGTAGTTGGACTTGAGCCTGTAGTTGGCCGTGGCCGGGACTTTGGTGTTGTTGGACGTCATGGTGGGAACGTGAGGGTGGATGGGGCTTGGGGGCATGTGGGTCGGTGTTGTCGAAGGTGTGGGCGTGGGTGTGGGGGTCGAAGGGGTGGGTGTGGGGGTCGAAGGGGTGGCCAAGGGCGCTGGTTAAACGCTCCTCCACGCTCCGGAGTTGTGGTAACTGTGGGAGAAGAAGAAACAGAGTAAATAAGAAAATAAACAAGAGATAAATGACAGAAATTAACGAGATTAAACATAATAACAGAGAATAAGCGATGGGGTCACCTAACCTAAGCCTAACCAAATCCAACCTAACCTAACCTCACCCCAACCAAATCCAACCTAACCTAACCTCACCCCAACCAAATCCAACCTAACCTAACCTCACCCCAACCTAACCTAACCTCACCCCAACCAAATCCAACCTAACCTAACCTCACCCCAACCAAATCCAACCTAACCTAACCTCACCCCAACCAAATCCAACCTAACCTAACCTCACCCCAACCAAACCTAACCTCACCCCAACCAAATCCAACCTAACCTAACCTCACCCCAACCAAATCCAACCTAACCTAACCTCACCCCAACCAAATCCAACCTAACCTAACCTCACCCCAACCAAATCCAACCAATCTTAACTTTACCAAAACTTAAAAAAAAAAAAAACATTCTGAATTTAGTCTTAAGCATAAACTAGACATCATCCAACTCACTTTTTCAGCCTCTAATACACGATACACTTTACACCTTGCAACATACACTTTACATCTTGCAACATACACTTTACACCTTGCAACATACACTTTACATCTTGCAACATACACTTTACACCTTGCAACATACACTTTACACCTTGCAATATATATCTCGTCTCGGTGTTGCTTGTTGCATATTGCACACACGATCCCTTTCAACAAGACGTTTCAACTCTGCCTTCTGAGACCTTAGCTGCGAAAAGACATAAATTAGCCATGACTTTCCTTCTTTGATTCCATTATCCCACACAAGTGAGGGATAACAAGCACTGAGAGAGAGAGAGAGAGAGAGAGAGAGAGAGAGAGAGAGAGTAGGGTTTGAGTGAGGATAAGAGAGAGAGAAAGACTGAGAGAGCCAGCTAGAGAGAAAGTCCTTCGTAGGAATCAGGAGAGCGAAGGATCTTTTCTATTCAGTATTAAAAACAAAAGGTAAAAATTCCTGACCCACTTAAACACGGGTTGCCAGACATCTCTTAAGTCAATATTTCACACTGACTGGAGATGTGAGGAATTGTCTTACTGCCAAGCTTAGACTACGATACAAAGGTTGGGTTAGGTTAGGTTCTTACGATGGCTAAACCAAGTTAAACCATCGTCTTCAAAGGGTTAAATCATCGTCCAGAAAGGGTTTAAACCATCGTCTTCAAAGAACTAAACCATCGGTCTCAAAGAGTTAAACAATCGTCTTCAAAGAACTAAACCATCGGTCTCAAAGAGTTAAACAATCGTCTTCAAATGGTTAAACTAACAAGTAACAACATGCTGACAGGCCAACAGCTGAAGGAGGAGCAACAACTCATTCTGATAGGCCAGTGGCAGAAGGTAAGTCTGGCCAGATTTACAAGGCAAAAGGTCCATGCACTCTGACAGGTTATTACAGGAGAACAGGTGGGATATTCTGACAAGCAATTCCGAGGAAAGAGACAAAATAATGAAATCTGACAAGCAATTGCAAGGATGACCAGTCGTGCATACTGAGAATCCCTTTGCAAGAGAATTCGTAAGAGAAAAATAGGTGCATTCTAATTACCCATTGTGAGGAGGAGAAGGAAGTCACATACTCTGACGAATTTATGCAAGAACTCAATCAAAATCTTGCAAGAAAACAGACACGGCCTCTGATTAGAATCTTCACGAATAAAGTTTTAACGAGCTATGGAATGAAAATGGTTGGGTTGGGTTGGGTTACAGTCCTGAGTAGGTATTTCCAGGTTGGGTTGGGTTAGGGTAGGATGCAATATGGGGTAACTATTGTAAGTGGTATAGTCTGGTACACACAGTCAGCTGAGGATGGTAACTGGGAAGGCTCGTGACTTTGTTGTCTATATAATATCTTACTGAATCTTTGTCAACTGTGTAGAACGTCCTGCAACATAGTGTTTTACATATATCTTATAACCTGCAACACTGTGAAACTCCCTACCACAGTATGTTCCTATAACTTACAACTTGCAATAGTTCAAAACACCCGGCATCACATATCATCCGTCTCTGACAAGGGGTCGACGCCTCAGTGAATAGATTTAACAAGGACAGTGATCTCCCTTCGTTATTTATATTTGGAAAAAATCACCATGACAAACAGTTTCAAGAAATGGATCCACGCTGAGTTGACCTTACGGAAAATAGATGCAATTTGATGAGTAATGTAAGAAAATGAATGTTATCTGAGAAGCCATTTATAGAAAGAAGGAAACATTTGGGTAACAAGAGGAGGTTAAACAAGATCTCAACATGACAGGTCAGAGGAACTGCCTGCTGGAGGTGTGAGACTCTACCTCCACGTACCTGACACATGGACGCCGCCCTGGTCACCTGTGGGTCCTGGTGGTGGTGGTGAGGCGGGAGGAGGGGGGTGGTGGGGGGAGGTCGAGAGAACCCCCCAGCCTCACCCCAGGAGCAGACTGAGGGGGTCGTGTCCCCACCGACGACGCTGCAGCAGGGGTCTCTACAGGTATATACAGGCGGAGACAACAGCCTACAAGTCACACAGTCGCCAACCTCACCGCCCTGCCCGCCGCCCCACCCACCTCTCACCACCGTCGGGTAGATGTGGGCGGGATAGGGCGTGAAAGCGGGGCACGGAGGGAAGCTGGAGTCACCTGGGCACAGATCAGGGTGGCATCCGGCACACCTGGATGGATCATTGTCATCATCGTCAGGCAGGTCCTCGAGGGTATGGGGGCGTGCGGGAGGCTGGCAGCAAGGGGGTAGAGGGGAAGGAGGATTGTGGGTGCGGAAGTTGCGCGGAAGGGTGTGGCTGACCACATCAAGCCCCACCACAGCCCGCCCACTCCTCACCCCGCCCCGCCCACATACCGTCTCCATGGGCGTGGTCTGCACCCCGCCCTTAACACCACGACCAGCTCAGCCACGTCAGGCAGCAGCAGGAGGTGATGGTTCCCGGAGCTGCCACAAGTGAAACAAGATAGTCAAGGTGTTGGGTCTTGCTCACCTTCATAATCCTTCCTTTCTGCCTCAAGACATATAAAGTTTTCCTCAATTTTCTTATATCTCCCTCGTCTTTACACCAATAACAACAATAACTGTCTTTAAAATATTCAAGACAATTTCTTTACACTCCTCGTCTTCACAACAGGAGTAGAATATTTTTAAAATATTCAAAACAATAATCCTTCAGTTTTTCTTTGTCATAAAACAAAAACACATAATTATCCTTTAAAGAAATCAAAACAACCATCACATTTTCTACACAATAACATTTCCCTAAAACACTTCAATTTTCTTATAGTTACTCGTCTTAACACAACAACCACTAACATTTCTCAAGAAAATAAGAACAAAATACCTTCTCACAATAAACACTGAATCGTCTGTATAACTTTCACTTCAATTTCCCTGCGGCTTTCAATATATATATCTCTACGCCCTCATCACACGGCGCAAAAGAACCACCAATTTTACCCAATGAGAGGAACAATGTTAACACTGGGCCCCTCTCTCTCTCTCTCTCTCTCTCTCTCTCTCTCTCTCTCTCTCTCTTCACTGTAACCAGATATGTATTTTGTATTTCGGAACAGATTATCGACCCCTGGTGCAGCTCCCCCCTCCCCCGAGACAGGAGAGAGAGAGAGAGAGAGAGGCTCCAACAATGCATCATCCACATCATTACCAAACACATTAGTTCATTTTCAGCAGCGCTACGAAATTTCATATACGTTCCAACAACACCATGTGTTTAATGATTGTTTTTTACCTGTCTCGTGAGTAAACTACAATTATCTCCTGCTTAATTACCGTTTTTTACCTGTCTCGTGAGTAAACTACAATTATCTCTGTTTAATTACCCGTCTCATCTGTTTAATGTACACTCACTCAAACAACTATCTTTAAAAAAATTGAAAAAATAACAACGGTCGATATAAGATCATGTTTACTTGTTTCCCTCTTTCTCAGGGTAAACAAGGTGAAGTTTACTTGTTTATCTCAGGGTAAACAAGGTGAAGTTTACTTGTTTATATTTTACGTAAGTGAATTTTTCCTTTTTTCTTTGGATAGTGGAATCTCTCTTTGACGGGTTATATGGACAGAAATCCTTTATATGGAGGTTTCACTGTATGCTAATTCCTTTTCATTCTATTACAATTCAGTTAAATTATTGCAGTTTTTGTGAATTTTATTTTTGTTAATGTTGAATACAGTAATGAGATAGTCCTTTGTTTTACGTTAACTGAGGCCATGAAACTGTATACAAAAGTATGTAACGTAATCTATATAAATAATGTTTCATTTCTTATTATTTCGTCTACATTTTGTTTTTCAGATAATATTTTATGTAATAATTTTCATAATTTATCAACGCTTAACTTCCATTAATCTCTTTACATTACATAATAATAATGTCTTTATAAGAAGACTTTTACCTTCATTCATTTTAAGAATATGTTAATTTTAACCCCCATTTAACGCGGAGGTTCAAACAATTTATCAACTTTACCTCAAACAAAACAATTCAATTTTTTTGTCTATTTTTATCAATATTGTTTTCCATTTTCTATCCGTTGGTAATTTCCTCTCTGCCAACACTTCCGGAGGGGGAAAACTCAACGAATTAGATTACTCTATTAAATCCGGGTGAAATATACACACACACAATCGTAATAGTTGTACATGATGGGGCCTTTGTATCGGTACTACGCCACAAACCTGGAAATATACTGATATATAAGAACATAAGAATGGAGGAAACTGC